TGTGCCCAGCGATAATTCAGTGTGCCTTCTTGTGCGGCGTGACTGCATATTCTTAACTCATTCACTCCCAAAGACATATTTATATGTCTTTTCACACTCCACACATTCAATCCCAGATACTTTCTTTTTTCAAGTTTTCCAAGACTTAGGGCAAAAAAAAAAGGGGGTCTAGAATTGGCTGGTACTGAGTTTTAATTGCACATCAAATTAGAAGATGAGCCAGAAACAGATGATTTTTTTTTTTTTGCTTTGATTTCTCTCAGTGTGTGTGACATCTGATCGTTTTGTTGGCATTTCCTTGAGAGTAGCTCCATCTAGTGGATGCATTGTAGATTGCATCTTATAATGTGGAGCACCCAATGTGTGAAAAAAATTACAAAATAGGCCATTCATTGAAGGTGCGCCTCATTATCCAGTGCGCCTTTTAGTGTGGAAAATACGGTAACAGCTGGGTTACAAAGAAAACCAAAAATGCAAATAGGTGAATTTGTGAAATCGCCAAACACAAATAAGAGGAGTTTCACCACATGCAGACCTGAGCGATTCAGACAGAGGCGTGAGGGAGCCATCTCCCCTGTCCACCACCCGGAAGAAGTTGAGCTGATCGCCTTCACGGTAGACCACAAACGTGACCTGTTTGTTGGCCGAGCTCTTCTCCCATCCTCCCTCCTTTGTGCCCTCCATCGAGTCCGCCACCTCTTTCACGGGATCCTCCATGGTTACTGGGAAAAGAAGAGAAGAGTTTCAGGAGGGTCTGCATAATTCAGGCACACACACACGCGCGCACGCACGCACACACACAAAAGACCCAGGTCCACCTTTTGGGTAGTCTTTTCCTTACCCCTTCTGGTGTTGATGGGACCTCCCCTCATCGCTAAGACCAACTTCAAAGTACAGCCCTCCGCAATGCTGCAAAAACACACGCGCTGACTATTAATGCGGCACCAAAAAAAAAAAAAAAAATCTAACAGAAGCCATGGAGCAAATGAAGTTTGGGGTAAAAAATGCGCAAAGCATCTGATTTCCAAATCAATTTGAATGTTTTAGAAGTCATCACGCTCTACCTCAAAAAAACAAAAACCTTTCCAAATATCAAAATCGCGTGATGCTGTGACTGCACCGCGTGGCAAACTAAGTGACAGGCGTACATGACACAACATGACAGGGAACCATTGTGGCTGCGGGGGAGACGTCTAAAGTTCGTCACTCATTAAGAAGTGCGGCTGAATAACGCCTACAGTGGATTTAGTGTGAGGGCGGGCGGCGTGGAGCATTTACCCGTAATCGTGGAGACAGTGTTCATCATCCAGTTCCAGGTTGTTCCAGATGAGGTGTTGCTGGGTAACTGGGATGCCTTTACACACACACACGCACACACACACACACACACACACACACACGCGCACACGCACACGCACACGCACACACACACACACACACACACACACACACACACACACACACACAGAAATCAATAGAGAGCTCCACAGGTTTTAGAGCACCGTGAATACAAGTCACACAAGCTGCTGCATGACTGCCCTCTATCGACAGGTCAACGCTACTGCAAATGGGGACCTGCTTCATCATTCTTTTGCCATTTCTGCACTGCACTTGTTTGGCTTTATTTACTGCCCAGTTTTATCTTTTTATTGTTTTGCACTTTGTGTCCAAACTTGGTTTTACAAAGTTGAATTTCACATCAGAGATGGGCGAGACGCTCCTCCAGGCCAAACCCGCTGAAAAATGCACTTATACATTCGATACGTTGTTGGTAGTAAACGGTTGGGGATTGCAGTTGATGAATATAAAGAGAGTCACACTGACGCTCACAAACCGAAGCCTGCTGAGCTTTCAAAGCCATTCGTTAAAGACAGGAAAATCAGTTTCTTCGCAACCTTTTTTTTTTTCGTACCTTCAAGCTTTTGAATCTTGGCCTTCACTGAGATGATGGCCTCAAAGGGCAACACGCGCAGTTCGAAACACGTCCCGGTCAGGGTCTCGATGAACAGCTCCATGGGGTCGTACAGAGGAAGCTTGTGGTGAAAAGCTCCCACGCGGTTGCCGTTGAAGAAGGGAGGCTCCTTCCTGTCGGTCATCTCGGCCGGGCGGTGAGGGAGGGAGGGCGTGGGGGCTTTAGGAAGGTAGCCAAAGCGGAGGTGTGGACAAAGCTGTGGGAGAGAGGGGCAGGTTGCGCTTCCTGGATGGGGGACCGTCACTCATTATGTGGGAGGACCACAACTGTGAAGAACAAAATAAAAAAAAAAACATCAGATCGAAAGGTCAGGGTGTCATTTCAATAAGCGTCTTAATGACTCGACATGCGTTTCCTCCTGTAGTGGCCAATAAGATTTATTTACCGAACACTCCTGTTTCTGCGGGTCAAATTGTAAATGTCAATTTCTTTCACTACATACAGCCACGCCTTGAAAGAAAGGGAAATGTTTAATTTTAAATCACGCGTCAACGCTATTCTTTGTATTTTGTTAGTTGTTTCTATAGAATTAATGGGCGTGTGTTAAACTATTACGACAAGTTGTAAATTTGGTTTGTGACCACTGTAGTAGTAAGCAAACAGTCCTGCCTTGAGATACAAGTGAACCGACTCGTCACTCTCACACAATGCAAAGAGACCCCAACTTTGATGTCAAGACATTTTTCTGATTGGGGGGCGGGAAGTGACATTTTTTGTAGGGCTAAAACGGATTAACATGTTGATTCATTTCAATGGTAGGGATGATTTGAGATACCTGTGTTTTGAGTTACACTTTGGTCATGGAATGAATTAATCTTGTATGTCAAGGCATCCCTTCTCTGATTGTTTTTTTTTTTTTTTGTGGGGCTGTAATTTTTTTTTTTTTTTTGTGGGGCTGTAACAGATTAACAGTATGTTAATTTCATTGGTGAGGGATGATTTGAGGAACCTTTAAATTACGAGTTTAGTCATGGATTGTGTAGGTCAAGGCACCACTTTTCTCATTGAAAACCACATTGACATTTACTTGTGGGGCCGGAACGGATTAATAGCATCTTAATTTATTTCACTGGGGAGGGATGATCTGACATATACCTATGTTTTGAGTTACAAATTTGGTCAAGGAATAAATTCATCATCAAGGCAACACCTTTTTTATGTATTTTTGGCTAACCTAAGATGGAGGCAAACTATTACAAACAGCTCAGTATGATGCAGTGGAGAAAGCACAATTAAAAAAAAAAAACACATTGCTTATTAACACTGTCTGTCAGCATCGATCAAACACTCAATGGTGTGTGGCCTGTGAATGCAACACACAAAGCTGCAACATGCCATTGCCTTTGTGGCATCATCATCCTTGTGGGGGGTTTGGGGGGTGCAACTGGACAGGTGTACCTAATGTTATGACCACCCGGTGCACAATAGCTGATTAAAACGAAAGAAAGAAAGCGGTACACAATGGAAAATTATGGGATGTCTTGCTTTCTCTGTGGGCTGCCCACATCAACGAGGCCTTTACGAGGATGTTTGAGATGAGGCGCTTACAAGCTACGCTGACAGAAAAGGTAGCAAAAGTCAAACATAGCGTTAAAACAGCGACAGGGGATGTTCATTGAAGCGACAGTGTTCAATGGCAAGCAAGCGTCTTTCGAGACAACGGTGACGTAGGCAGTATTTTAACATTCGCTTTAAAAAAAAAGGAGAGAGGTGAAAGTGTTGCTTACCGTGAATAGCAAGGAGGCGAGCTACGGTCTAGCGGACGCTGCTGTCCTTAGCCGACGTTGCCATGTTAGCCAACAACTCAAACAATGGCTACAGCTCCACACATACGGCGAGCTAGTTAGCCGTCGAGCTAGGCTACGCCCGTGGGCACCGTCCTCGATCCCCGTGTGCCGGTGTCGCTGTCGTGGGCGGCGTTACGTTCACGAAAACAGAGCATTGCATCACGTCCAACGCCACAAACGGAATGACCCCGGGTCGCGTCTGCGGTCGGTCGCCGTGTTCGCGACGCCGTCGTACCTGTCACGCACGCCGGGGGAGGGCGAAGCGGCACCTCCGTGGCTGACTTTGATTGACGCCATGAGGTAACCAATTGTAGCGAGGAGGAGGAGTTAAAGGTGGGCTTTGTTTGATTGACATCATAATCTAACCAGTTGTTGTCTTGAAAAGGGCAAATAAAGGCGGGGCAGAGATTTGATTGACATTACTTTTACCAATGATTTTGAGTGTTTATACGAAGGTGGGATTTGGACGGGTCTCCCATTTGATTGACAATCACAATGTTGCAAAGCGTTGCTCGTTGATTGCAGAAGAGCTTACAAATGTTTGTTCTTTGTGTTCAATCGAACACTGTTAATTGGAAACATTTCAAAATTCCTTAAGAATGTGTAAATATTTCTTGTAGAATTTAATGTGAACATAACTTGGAGTATTTCTATGTTGCAATAGTTTATTGTGCTAAATGTTCATTGTAACTCCTTTAAGACTCATATTTCTTGTTTTTATGCTGATAATTTCATAGTTTCTACATTTTGTTTTCTAGCTCCTTTTTTGTAAATGTTTATCATTCAAAGCCTCGAAGAATTGGAGCCAGAAAATCTATCAGAGCTTTTTTTCCCCTCCAAATTAAGATCATATACTTGTTTAAACTATTGTTGAACACGTTCAGACTGAATCAGTTCAACATTTTGAAAATATTTTCAAAACCATCTGTTGCGTGGAAAGGCTCGAAGAAGGCGAGAAGACAGCTGACAAGTTCGTTTCCAAAAGGAGGTATAAGTCAAATGTAATTAATATCCTTCTATTCTTGGCCAACCACTCATTGAGTACAGACTCTTGACTTTTGTTGCGTATGTTTAGAATAAAACAATGAATTCAACTTTGAAACTAAAAATGTAAAATGAATAACGTCATTTTTTTGCAGAACAACAATAATGGATTCATAGTGCTTTGGAAAAAGAGCTAATTTTGACAGCATTTTGAAAAACAGAAAACATCCCCTCCCTCCAAGAAATAACCACACACATTTTAGATACTATAAAATATGTTTCATTTTAGTTCATAAAAATGACATTTCTTTTTCGTCACAGCAAAAGTTAAGAAATGGGTGAATTTCTTATTCTTGATAAAAATATGGTCAAAAAGCTTCCGAGCCGAGTTGACAAAAGCATGACATGGCACCTATAGACAAGAAATCTCAACATGGCACAGCCAAAAAAAAAAAAAACAATCTACCAGTATTGTTAATTCCTCCAGGCGCTAAGGCTAAGTAGAAGGGTACGCTCATAAAGTGCTATCATGTCTAATTATTAGCAGTCCTTACTCAATGTTACGTAAGAAGGATACAATGCAAATAAATGGATGAATCTGGGATGCGCCATCGATCATAACGATATATAAATATTTCCAACAGTGCGTCCGATCTCTTCCGGGTTCAGCAATCAAAAAAATACGATGCCGTTGATCCACAGCTCAACTTCAATTCCTCCCGAGAGCATTAAGCGGATCGTCGAACATGTTCGTCGAGTCCACTGTTGTGCTGGTCCCCTGTGATGGAGGTGAGGTTTTTGCTTTCGGAGTCGCCTTTGTCGCCGTTTTGACTGTGCTTGGTGCAAAAATGTCATCTTAAAGAAAGAAAATGTTTCATTACAAATCATTTGAAACGAGGAATTTCCTCAGGTCGGAAAATACAGAATATCTGCCTGTGCTTTGGCTTACCCATGTCGTCGTCAAAGATGGACCTGCTGGCCTCCTTGGCCTTGGCCTTCTGTTTTGGTGCGAAAGAGTCCGCCAGGTCGGCAAAGATGTCGATGTCGTCAAACAGATTGACATCGGTGGGCTTCTCTGTGCCCTCTTTGTGGGCTTTAGGCAAGACGGCAACGTCGTCCTGTGAAGACAGAAATGTCGCTGAGGATGCATGATGTTTTCTAGAAAAGAAGACTAATAAGTCATGTTGCACAAGAAACAAACAAGAACACATTTTTAACACATCTAGATGTACATAGCATTGAATAAAAGCCGGACTCCTGAAATGTTTGTCTCATATTCATCTTTTGATCTGAAACCTAACTGTCTTCATGGTACAACAAAAACAGAGGAAGGAATTGACCGTGCCGTTTCAATACTTTTGAAGGGCACTATACACACTCCGATTCAAAAGTTTAGACACACATTCTAGTTACATGAAAAGAGAAACCGTGTCCAAACCTTTGACTGGTAGTGTAATTTGAGGAAATGGAAGTCACCTCAAAAATATCCTGCTTTGGAAAACTGTCGCTGCTCTTGACGTCTTGGCCACTTGTGGACGTAGCCGTCGAGCTGCTCTTCACTCCAAAGAAGTCGTCGTCATCGTCGTCATCTTCCATAAAGGGTGACGACTTGGACGTCTTTGCTGCCATTTTTGGTTTCACCGTCTGGAAAAGGTCATCGCTGTTGTCGTCGAAAATGGACGGGAGGTTGCTTACGTCCGTCTTTGGTACCGCCGCAACCGGATGTTCGGCCTTTTTGGTGGGGGGTTTGGCGGCAGAGGTGAAAAAGCCGTCGGAAGCAAAAATGTCATCCTCCTCAAGGGGAGGCAGCACCTTGCCTTGGTTGCCGTCCTTACTAGAGTCGAGCTTCTTGGCGTGGTTGGCTACAGGCAGCGTCGGCAAAGAAGGCTTGGTGGGGATTTGAGCCGGGTGAGGTCGAGAAGGTAAGGGCGAGGATGTAATAGGAGCCGAGTTCTGTGAGGTAGGAATCTGACTCAAGTGGCCTGACGGGGGCAGGACGGCTGTAGATGAGCTGGAGGAGGCTACGGGGAGACTCCCAGCTGGAATGTCATCTTGTTCCTCCGCTGTTCTTTGAGACGCTTGCCTTGCCGCTCTGGATTGTGGTCTTCGATGGATGGAACCTTTGACACGACTCTGGGCAAAAAAAAAAAAAGATTTCCAGTCAGAGTTGGCAGAAGGCACATATTGTACACTGGAAAAATAGGATTAGCAGTTAGGCATTCAAGAATTTGCATCATCTGCCAGCCAAAGCAATAAAATCACTTTGGCGCCATCTGGTGGAATGTTTGTTGTTTTTGCTGTTATGTTTAACTAGAGTGTTTCTTTTTTTTTTTTCTGAATATGAGAGGTCCTGTTTTTCTGCCGGTTGTTGAATGCACTTCTTGCGGAGTCAGACAGTAACTCTAAAAGACGCAATTAGTAAAATAGCTGCTGTAGTCGACTTTGCTGTTCCATTTTTCCTGTATTCCTGGTCGTGTAAAGTGTGCATATTTGTTTGCCTGTGTGTGACGCCACGTCAGTTTGTGCTTGCACGTGTGCAGGGTAATAATACTGATGAGCCTCATGTGTAGTTTTTTTTTTGTCGTCTTGAATAATCTCACTTCTCAATTCAGTCATTTGATATGTTACATCAAATTCATTACTGTGTGCATGCTAGATGCATGGCGTTGGTGCTTTACAATCCTCTCAGTTTTAAATGCTGCGTCACTATGTTCTAGGATCTATAATCAATTAAACATTCCTTCAAGGGGAGTTGTCAATAATGTTGTGGCTGACCAGTCCGGACATATTCACCGCCCACCTTATTTGCACTCTGCAAAGTCTGAACCTGGAGCGGTGCATCAAAGCTGACTCCCGCCTCACTGTCTGTCCGCGCTCCGATTGGCGTCGTAGCAGGACTGGGGCTCATGCTGGAGCTGGAGACCCCGGAGGAGGAACTGGGATCCAGACCCGGCAGCACACTGACGGCCCCCGGCATGCTGGGGGCTGAGCCAGGGAGGAACACAGCGGGATTGATCTTTAGACTCGCCTTAAAAAAAAAAAAAAAAAAAAAAAAGTACATTGACAGTAGAAACCACATGTAACAACTTTTTTTTTAATGTGTGCAAGCATTTTAAGAGGAGAAAAAAAAGGCTGGATTTACAGTGAACTCGCTTTTTTTTTTT